AAGTCTTGGTGCTTTGCGAGGTTGTCATCTTGATCAGACTCGATTGGCAGCCCCAGCCAACCACTCCTGCCAATACTTCTTATCTTTATATTTTTCCATACTTTTTACTATAAATATTTGTGCCTTTTATAATCAGAAAGAAATATCTATTAAAATTTAAGGGTGAGACACTGTGGCTCACACCTGTAACCCCAGCACTTTGGAAGGCTGAGGCTAGAGGATCAGATCACTTGAGCTCAGGAGTTCGAGACCAGAATAGGCAACATAGCAAACAAAACAAACAAACAAACAAAAATTAGCTAGACTTGGTGGCATACACTTGTAGTGCCAACTACTCGGGAGAATGATACAGAAGGATCTCCAGGCTACAGTGAGCTATGACCATGCCACTGTACCACAGTCTAGGTGACAGAGTAAGACCTCCACTCAAAAATTAAAAAAAAAAAGTAAGGTACATATATGCTACAACCTAGCAATTCCACAGCTTAGAAAGCTATTTGCATATGTGCACAAAAAGAAATGGAAGCAGTGTATCTTACAATTTTAAAAAATGGAAAGTAAGAAAATGACCAGATAAACTGTAATTTATTCTTACTTCAGAATACTAGGCAGGAGATGGAAAGAACAGAATACAGACAAAGATGGGCCTGCACAATATATTATAGAGTAAATAAAAGCAGGTCACAGAATAACATTTTTAATTTACTCTCACACATTTAGGCATGCACACACATACTATATATTTCTATAAGCACATAATTATTTAACTACATAGGAACAGGTCTGTCAAGGATATCCAAACTATTAACTATAGATATCCAGAGGAAGTGATAGTATTAGGAAGCATAGAGAGAAGAATTTTATCTAAATTGTACAGCAAACAACTGCAATGTATTCATGCATTTCTTAGGCAACCTTTAAACTATATTTTCAAAGATAAACTTCACTGCCTTTAAACTGTGCATTAGTAATATTTCCTTGTCTAAGATCAGCAGATATTTCTATAGTATGACCCACAACAGCTTAGATTTCAAATACTTGAATCCATCCTACTCATAAACTACTAAGTTAAAAAACATCAGGAGCCAAATGTATGCCTGATCCATACTAGGGGCTTTATATGTTACCTCATTTAATTCTAACATTAGAATTATCACTCTTTTGTGAGGAAATCGATGTTCAGAAGTTAAATAACCTGGCAAAAAGCACAGGGATATTATATGAGCCAAGATTCAAACTTAGGTCTGATGCCTGGCACTAACGTCCAAATTCTTTCCAGTATACATATCACGCCACCTTGGGAATACCTAAAAGATTAACAGCATAGTAAAAGTAAACAAAATTATGTTTCTAATGTTTCTCTTAAAGAAAAACTAAAGTAGATATCCCTTCAATCCACTTCTAGTTAAACAACTCTACTTCAAATTCTTAAGTTTTCAAATGCCTAAATGACCTTATTTTTATCCCTTAGAAAATGTAAACCATAAAAAGATATATAAACTATAAAAGGTATTTTAAATAGACTAAAAGTTTAAGTATAAATAATGATTTAAAGGTCAAAGAATCTAAACTATTTTTAAATATATAAGTTAAACATACATCACATTCTATAAAATAAAAGTGATTCTCAGCTACTATCACAAAAACAGTATATTATGAGAACAGGCACAGAAATAAAGTATTTTAAAGCTGATTCAATCAAAAAGTATTTACCATGATATTCGAACTGAGATAAAGCCATAATAAGGAACAAATTATTATACAAAACGTACACAATACTTGCTGAAACACAGAAACTAAAAGGAATGTATGCAAGAAAGAAGACAGGACCTTAAAAGTACAGATTAGACGTAACGATAATGAACAAAGGGCCACATTTCATATCCTCTGATCATCCTAAAAGTTAATTCTAAAGGAGATTCAAAAGGCCCCTAACACACACCACACACACATACACACACAAGAATATCCTTCTAGTACCTAACCATAAAATACAATGTTGCAATGCAGTTATACATAATCAGCATCTCTATTGGAAATTCAAAAACCAATCTGGAGAATTTAGGCCAAGATAAAAATGACTATTCTTCTTTCCTAGACAGAGGAAAAAGTGTCTATGTTGAAGATTAGCTTTTTATATATCCAGAAATCAAATTCAATTCATGAAAATAAAGTAGAATTGTTAGCAAGTCTTGTGGATGCATAATGCTAGGCATACTAAAATAATCTGAAGGTTCTAGTCTGCCATACAAAAACAACATAAAACCAGAGATTTTTGTTGTTCTAAATCAAGTCAAGATGTTTAAATTATTTTAATAAAGTACTCTGTATAATCATTAAGTCACTTCATTATGCAATAGTTTTCTAATGTTTCTATTGACAATAAATATAAGACTCCTATTCTATCTGGCTGGCTTTAACTAAGGAAGTATGCATTCAACCATTGATAATCAACTCCTAATCTTCCCAGAGCTCACCTTTTGATAGGCCATTATACCTCCCCACAAAAATGTCCTTAAATCAGAATAAGCAGTCTAAAACCACATGTCTACTATCAATTACTTCCTTCTTTGGCATATGAAGAATTCACATTCTTATTCTCACCATTCCCCCTCCCCATCTTCAAAATGGAATTATGGTTTTAGTTAAAAAAATAAATAGGGCATGGTGGCTTACATCTATAATTCCCACACTTTGGGAGGCTGAGGTGGGAGGATTATTTGAGTCCAGGAATTTGAGACCAGCCTGAGCAACAGAGCAAGACCTCATCTCCACAAATATTAAAAATTAGCAAGGTAGGGCCAGGCATGGTGGCTCAAGCCTGTAATTCCAACTTTTGGGGAGGCCGAGGCAAGAGGACTGCCTGAGCCCAGGGGTTAGAGACTAGCCTGGGCAACTTGGCAAGATCTCATCTCTACGGGAAATCAAAAAATTAGCCAGGTGAGGTAGCACGTGCCTGTAGTTCCAGCTACTTGGAAGGCTGAGGTGGAAGGATCGCCTGAGCCCAGCAAGTAGAGGCTGCAGTGGCCTTGAGTGTGCCACTGAAATCCAGCCTGAGTGACAGAGTAAAACTCCAAATCAAAAAAAAAAAAAAATTAGCAAGGCAAGGTGATGCACCTGTAGTTCCAGCTACCTGGGAGGCTAAGGCAGGAAGACTGCTTGAGTCCAGGAGGTCAAGGCTGCAGTGAGCCATGATGCTACTGTACTCTTGCCTGGGCAAATAGTGAGACTACAAATCAAAAATATTAATAATAACAATAAATAATATTTAGTATGTTTTTGGAAGTCTACTTTAAATGTCAGCAAGTCTTTTTTTGTTTTGTTTTTTAATTTTTTATTTTAAACATGTTGAGTACAATTCAGGGTTAGGTATACAAATGTTCATTATGCAGGTATCCTTATTGATGAGGTGTGCCCTCCCCCTTCCCTGGCAGTTTCCCACTACTGCCAATCTCACCCACCCACACCCTCCCCGGCAGTCTCCCACTACTGCCAATCCCTTTCTTATAGTATTACAATATTTGTCCAAGGTTCGTTTATGAGTGAGAATATGTGATACTCAGTTCTTTATTTCAAATACCAGCAAGTTTTTTCTGTCATTATAACAATACTGTTTTTAGAAGTATCTTATTTTTTTCTAAAGAAAGCAAAATTTTTAAGCTAACCATTTACACAAAATTTTTTCATGATTTTATCTTTAACAAACACACAGAGTTTATAATATATCAAGTACCAGGGCTCTACGTGCTTATGTGTTAGCTCATTCAATCTTAAGATTACCATGGGGAAAAAAATACTATTATTATCTCCATTTTACAGATGAGGAAATTTAGGCATGAGGAAATTTAGGCATGAAAATAAGACACTGGCCCAAGGTCACATTATTAACTGGTAAAGAAGCCAGAAATCAAACCCACATGGTCTCAGAATCAAACTACCAAGCAGCATACTAAACTCCTTCTTCAATCTGATTTAAAAAATTTTTTTTAATTTGCATTATTTTTTTCAATATATTTTTGTAGAGACAGGGTCTCAATATATTACCCAGGTTAGTCTCAAATTCCTGGCCTCAAGTGATCCTCCCACTTTAGCCTCCCAAAGTGCTGGGATTACAGGTGTGAGCCACAACACCTGGCCAAAAATCCTTTAAAATTGTCCAAAATTGTCCAATATTACACTTTGTAGGAGAAATTTTAGAGGGGAAATTTAAAATTTAAATTTTATGGCATTAAATCAATTATATGGCTTCCATAACAGAAGTCATCCTTTTAAAAGGAGTATATTTGGCTTAGTTCATATTATATTATCAAAATGGATTTTCAAAGGAAAAAAGATGTGTATGTCTACATACAATTTCTTTTTAGATTTTAATAATTAAATGTACTATTAGAAATACAAATTTTAAATTTTATAAACATCAAGATTATAAATAAATATAAGCAACAAACCAATTTTCTTATAAATTATATACTAATAAAATATAGAACTGTAATAGAAAATTTATTAGAAGTGTTTATTAATAATAAACGCTTTGAAATTCCAAACTGATGGTCTCTTTTCCAGTATATTACCTTTTTAAAATTATTCTTGACATGTAAGGTGTATTCATTATAAGATTAGAAAAATAGTTAATTTCATATTCTTTTAATAAACTATTGCAGACTTAGCTACATATTTTTAAAACAATTTCATTGTACATATGACAACTACTTAGATAAATCTGAGGATATCTTCTGAAAAGAAATCTCTATCTCTTTCTATCTCCTACTTTTAACTGTGAAAAAAAGAAATGAATTATAAACAAGAAGTAAAAATCTAGTTATAGCCCTCGTTCTGTCACTAAGTAATTGTGTGATCTACGCTTCCCAGAAGCCACTCCTGGGCTTCAGTGTCGTGACTATAGAATGAGAAACTTAAACTAGATAGTACATACAAATCTATACAATTTGAAAACTTTTAAAATTCAATTTTTAAAAACAGTTTTTAAGTTTAAACCTTACCTCATCTGAAGAATCTACTTGTCCCAATGTTCCTGTTGCACCTGCAAAACCTTTTGAGAGGAGAAAAAAAGTTGTCTTTCACAATTGCTATATACTGTTTTACTTTAAAATTATTTTGAAACATAAAAATAAAAAGCTAAGTTTTGTTATGCTTGCCCACCTCATTCTAACAGTTATCTTGGAAAAGTTCAACACTTATCTTGAATAAGTTTGAACCTAATAGGCTGATATTTCACTAGGAAATCTCTAGAGAAAACCTAGATTTAATATAGTAATTACAAATGGTGTTTCAGAAGGATCTGTTTTTTGTTTGTTTGTTTGTTTTGAGTTAGAGTCTCACTCTGTCACCCACACTCGACCTGCTGGGTTCTAGCAATCCTTCCACCTCAGCCTTCCAAGTAGCTGGAACTACAAGCGCGCTACCATGCCCAGCTAATTTTTTTAATTTATTGTAGAGATGAGGTCTCACCAAGTTGGCCAGGCGGGTCTCGAACCCTCGGGCTCAGGCAATCCACTCACCTCAGCCTCCCAAAGCACTGGGATTACAGGCTAAGCCACTGAGCCCGGCTGGATCTATTTTATTTTTATTTTTAGATTGGAAAATATCATTTATTTAGAAAGTAAATGGGAGAGAGAAAAAGAGAGAGAGATTGATTCACCTCCCCAAGATAGAAGGAGAGGGGGCCAAAGTTCAGATCTATTTCTTTTTAGTTTAGTTTAGTTTTAAACCACAGTATACTAAAATATTGAACTAGTAAAGTTTTGGCTACTCTTGAGTAGCACCTGCAACACTTGTCATTAGTTATAACCAGAACATTAACAAATTAATCAAATTCCACTTAAGGAAAATACACTTTTTGTTTTGCCAATCTACTCTTTCTTGTCTCTAAATTTTTACTACTTTTACTACTTTTCTTACACAGAATGACACTGTTCTAGTTCAAAATAAATTTCTTCGATATTGAGAAAAGTTGAAGAAGTTTTTTTGTTTAATACAGGAAAGTTACTATTGCTCAAATTAAACACTTAGACAAACCTTGAACTGCCAGAGTGCTAGTACCAGCAGATGGCTCCTGCATACCATATACAAGCTTATCCTCAGGATATGTAAGTCCAGAGCTCTTCAAAGCTATAAGGTACTTCTCATGACTTTTCTTTGCGCAAGCATTTTCTCCAACACCTAATATTTAAAACAAATTTAAAATCAGAAAAAAATATTCCATTCAAAATCTAAGTACAATCATCTCATTTATATATGTGTGTGTATGTATATACATATATATGTGTGTGTATATTCTAATTAAGGAGGAACTCTACACTAACTAACATAAAATACCTGCAGATAACATTTTTGTGCTTATGTTTGGCATTAACAATCCCAGAATACACAGCATGTTTATAACAAATAGTGAAATCTACTAAGTAGTTGAGTATCTAAAATATGCAAGGGAATATATGCAAGGCACAAAGGGTACAAAGATTGATAAGGCATAATCCTAGCTTTCAAGAAACCTGAAAATTTGTGGTAAAGGAAAGCAGATAGATAATATAGTACAGTAGATGAAATTACATAGCAAAATTCATCATTTGGTTTGAAAATGTGTGCCCTCCTAATACTAGGCATTCAGTTATCCAAAGCAGAGTACTTAGGAAAGGCTTCCTAAAGGAGATGCCTAAATGGATTTTTATCGTTATCTTTTTTTTTTTTTTTTGGTATACCAGGCTATTTAATCAAGTTACTTACAATGTACACATTCCTGCATATGTCACAGGAAACCAAACTTTTCTGTCAAATGTGCTTGATCAAACAGAAGAACTGAGTTCATAAAATGAATTCATTGAAAACTTTATATATAAACCATAGGCATCGGTAAATAAGTTCTTCATTCCATTTTCTTGCCTTAAGTCATGAGCATACCTTACAAGCCCTGTATGACAAATGCTGACACAAACCACTTGTCAAAACTGTCCAGTTTTCAAGCACATGTTGTGCGACAGCCACATATTCTCATCCATGAGGTCAAGGGCAACATAGACTATGAACTGGTTCTGATGAGAATGATCATCTTTGGATTCCTCTTTCCCAGTTGGTAAAAACCCCATTTCAAAAACTAATTTGTCATGGTGGCCAACAATTGCAAGGTAGAAGCTTCTAGATCCTGCCTTCAATATCTAGCTCCTACAGGGAGACTCTGACAATGAAAATGCACAGTCAGTACCAATGGAGGGACAAGCTTGAGCCACATGCCCAAGGCCGACTTTGCGGGCTCCCGCAGATAGGTATTTACAAATATTACAGAGGACATTCCTTTTAATTCCTGCTTTTTATTTTATTTTTTTATTTTATTCCTTTTAATTCTAAGATTTTTATTATCACTTAGGGAATTAAAAGTATAATTTCTATGGAAGTACCAGTTAAAACTAATTTATTCTCAAATATTGAAAAGTTTAGGTTCTATAATTAAACAATATTAGAACATTCATTTTAGCACTTCAGTTTACTAATTATTGCCAACTTTTTGTTTTGTTTTTAATATACTATGGAAGATAAAATAATGGTTAAAAAAAAAAAAAGGCTGGACACAGTGGCTTACACCACTGTAATCCTAGCACTCTATGTAATCCCAGCACTTTGGGAGGATGAGGCAAGAGGATCACTTAAGCCCAGGGGCTTGAGGCCAGCCTGGGCAACATAGTGAGACCTTGTATCTACAAAAAAATCAAAAAAATTAGCAAGGTGTGATGGTATGTGCCTGTGGTCCCAGCAAGTTGAGAGGCTGAGGCGGAGAGATCACCTGAGCCCAGGAGATGGAGGCTACAGAGAGCTGTGATAGTGTCCCACTGTACTCCAGCCTGGGCAAAAGAGTAAGACTCTAACACAGGGGGAAAAAGAAACAGATTGATAATTGAGCAATCTTTGGAAGAAAAATGTATTCTCTATGTGAAAGGCAAATTACCACGGCATTTGCCACCTCTTAGGTAGATTACATATTTAAAATTAAACTCTTAATCACTCTAATTAAATAAATATACAAATGAGTTTGATATTTATTTCTTTCACTGTAAGCCTCAATAATTACAATACAAGCTTTGGGGTTTTTTTGCTTTTTGAGTTGGAGTCTTCACTGTCACCCAGGCTGGAGTGCAGTGGCACCTCATGGCCACCTCAGCATCAACCTGCTGGGCTCAGGCGATTCTTCTGCCTCAATCTTCCAAATAGCCAGAACTACAGGTGTGCGCTACATGCCCAACTAACTTTTTATTTATTTTAGAGACAGATCTCACCAAGTTGCCCCGGCTGGTCTCGAACCCACAAGCACAGGCAATCCACTCACCTCGGCCTCCCAAAGTGCTGGGATTGTAGGCTGAGCCACCAAGCCCAGCCTTGGTTTTTTTTAAATTTCCAGTCTCTGTCTAGGCTGGTCTTAAAAGAAAAAATAAAAATAAAACTCCAACACAGATTAAACAAATAGGAATACACCTCTCCTTCAATTCAAGATCAATATTAAAAACAACCACTTTATAAAGAATAAAATGCCTTCAGAGTCCTATATAAAAAATTACCATCTCCTGAATAATAAAAGCCATGCATTCATCTCAGATGATGAAATTTTCATATTTTGTAATTACCAAAAATATGCTGTCAGCCCTTTGCAACAACTCTGAGAAAAATGAATGCATAATCACCATTTTTATAAGTGAAGAAACTGAAGCTTAGAAAGATAACATGCCTAGCCAGAGTAAGTAATTAAAATGGAAGTGAAGCTAAATTGCAACAAATTTTGAATAAAAACGTAACTTGATTTCCATCAGTAAAAGTTAGCTAAGAAATATGAATACTGTTTAATTTCAAGAAATAAGAATTAAAAATAATTGTAAAAACAGGACAATTACTACAGATCACTTGTAATATAAGCTTTTTTCTTTTTTAGTTGGAATCTCACTCTGTCACCCAGGCTGGAGTGCAGTGGCACACTCACAGCCACCCCGGCATCAACCTGCTAGGCTCTAGCGATCCTTCTGCCTCAGCCTTCCAAGTAGCTGGAACTATAGGCTTGTATTACCATGTCCAGCTAATTTTTGATTTATTGTAGAGATATGGTCTCACCAAGTTGCCTGGGCTGGTCTTGAACCTGTGGGCTCAGGCAATCCACTCATCTTGGTCTCCTAAACTGCTGGGATTACAGGCTGAGCCAGATATGCTTTTTATTTTATTTTATTTTTTTAGTTGGAGTCTCACTCTGTCGCCCAGACTGGAGTGCAGTGGCCGCTCCCAGCCACTGCAGCCTTGACTACTGGGCTCCAGCAATCCTTCCACCTCAGCCTTCCAAGTAGCTGGAACTACAGGCGTGCACTACCACGCCCGGCTAATTTTTGATTTATTGTGGAGATGAGGTCTCGCCAAGTTGCCCAGGAGGGTCTCGAACCCGCAGGTTCAGGCAATTCACTCACCTCAGCCTCTCAAAGCACAGGATTACAGCCTGAGCCACCGAGCCTGGCTCAGATATGCATTCTTATAATGATTAAGAACAATCTGCCTATTCTCCTTCTCATAAGTTGACAGTTTCTGAATAAAGAACCATTTTCTAGGTTGAAGAAATACCAGACATATGATTTTTACCCCTCTCCAGCTTCATCACTGGAACTCAAATACACACTTCCATCATCTTTATCCTTGACTGCATTTGAGCTGCATTTGAGCTGCTTTTCTCGCCCCTTCCAAACTACTGGCAAAATAAATCATCTTTAAAAACACATCTGATCATATCATTCTTATGCTTAAAATATTTTATCACTTCCCACTACATTCAGAATAAGATATAAAATCTTACATGGATCATGAGCAGAATACTGCCTGATCTACATCTAATTTAATTTGTTACTACCCTCTGTATCATTTCACTTCAATCACACTAGCATTTTCTAGTTCCCTATTTAATAATTTTCTTATTTTAAAAATATAAAAATAGAGACAAGGTCACACTATGTTGCCTAGGCTGGTCTCGAACTCCTGAGCTCAAGTGATCCTCCCATCTCAGCCTTCCATAATGCTGGGATTATAGGCATGTGCCAAGGTGCCTGGCCAGTTCCTTATTTTATTTTATTATTTTAGCTGGTTTTTTTTTAGTGGGGTCTCACTCAGTCGCCCAGGCTGGAGTACAGTGACACACTCACGGCTACCACAGCCTACACCTGCTAGGCTCAGGCGATCCTTCTGCCTCAGCCTTCCAAGTAGCTGGAACCACAGGCATGTGCCACCATGCCTCGCTAATTTTTTTGATTTATTGTAGAGATGAAGACTGGTCAAGTTGCCCAAATTAGTCTTGAACCCCTGAGCTCAGGCAATCCTCTTGCCTATGCCTCCCAAATTGCTGGGATTACAGGCATTAACCACCACACCCAGACCCAGTTCCTTATTTTAAAACTGAGTTCATTCCTAACCTTAAATATTCCCACATGCTGATTAGGTGAGTTTCTTTATATTTATCTTGTTTGTGGTTCATTACACATCTTGGATCTATAAATCAATACTTTCCTTCCAAAATGGTAAACTGTACTCATAATTTCTCCAAATGTTTTAGGACTCCAATTACATAAATGCTAGATCATCTGATTCTAATAGGTCTCTGACGCTCTGTTGTGTTTTATTCAATCATTTTTCTTTCTGCTCTCTAGATTAGATAAGGTGTTTATCTGTCTTCAAATTCACTGACTCTTTCTTCTCCCTTCGCCAATCTGCTGCTAAGACTATCCAGTGAGTTTTCAATTCAGTTACTGCACTTTATTAAAACTTTCAATTTTAAAATTTCACTTTAGTTCTCTTTGTTTACATTTATCTGCTAAGATTCCTTATCCCTTCACTCATTAATACCATATTTTCCTTTAATTTCCTGAACATATTTATAGTAGTTGCTTCAACATCTTCACCTGTTCAATTCAATATCTAGGCCATCTCAAGGTCAACTTTTAGTGATTTGTTTTGTTAATTATAGCATACAATTTCACATCCACTAGTTTTTATCACATACTAAATATCCTAATGACATATTATAGAAGATTCTGGGCTGGGCGCGGTGGCTCAAGCCTATATTCCCAGCACTTTGGTAGGCCAAGGCAAGAGGATTGCCTGAACCTGCGGGTTCAAGACCAGCCTGGGCAATGTGGTGAAACCTCATCTCTACAATAAATCAAAAAATTAGCTGGGCATGGTAGCACATGCCTATAATTTCCGCTATCTGGAAAGATGAGGCGAAAGGATCGCCTGAGCCCAGCAGGTCGAGGCTGCGGTGGCCAGGAGTGTGCCACTGCAATCCAGCCTGGGCGACAAAGTGAGACTCTAACTCCAAAAAAAAAAAAAAAAAAAAGGAAGATTCTGGATTCCATTATCTTGCTCTAAAGCATACTAATTTTTATTCTAGAAGACAGTTCAATTACAGGTTGATCACTCAGAAGTCATGAAGGCTTGGTTTAATTTGTGAGAGGCAGATCTGTGAAAAGCTTAAGTTGGCCAGCATGGTGGCTCATGCCTATAAATCCAGCACTTTGGGAGGCTGAGTAAGAGAATTGCCTAAACCCACGGGTTCAAGACCAGCCTGGGCAACTTGGCAAGACCTCATCTCTAAAATTAATCAAAAAAAAAATTAGCCGGGTGTGGTAGCGCATGCCTGTATTTCCAGCTACTCGGAAGACTGAGGCAGAAGGATCACTTGAGCCCTGCAGGTTGGCACTGCAATGGCCATGAATGTGCCACTGCACTCCAGCCTAGGCAACAAAGTGAGACTCCAACTCAAAAAAAAAAAAGTGCTAAAAATAAAAAAAAAAAAAGCTTAAGTTGCTCAAATGGCCTTCTGAAATTGACAGGAATCGTCTCCAAACACTACCTCTCTTACAGATGCTGTCAATTATAGGCTTTGTTAAGGCTAACCCAGGTTTGGGCTTCTGGTGTCTCAGATAGATGCCTGGGGGTATTAATATTAACAAGGTATCTCCAAGCTGGATGGAGTGAAACTCCAATGTCCCCAACACTACTTGACCTCCAATATCTCTATTCTTCTTTTAACCCCACAGCAGTCACTCTCTAGCAGGCTTAGGTAGTCTCATCCCATACATGCACAAGCCAGTTCTCAGCCAAATATTTTCAGAGTCCCCCACAAGTCTGCCTCACTACACCTCAGTGTTCTCCCCTAAAGAGTTCACAGTTTCTAACTGCTTCAGCTGGCCTAAACTGTGATCATGCATCCTTAACTCGGCATCACCAACATGCTCTACTTTAATGCCAGTTTTTTGCACTACAGACAGGATGTTGCCCCTAGAAAAAAAAATCAGAGCAATTGGGGGGCCCATCTCATACTTCTCTTTTCTCTGAAGGGTTACATTCACATGCTGCCTGTTGTTCAATGCTTGAAAATATCTAATTCAGTATCTTTTTAATCTAAGTTTTATGTTGCTTATGACATAAGGGCTGGTCCAGAAGCAGAAGATACATCTACCTGGAATCTAACCTCACCCCATTATCACTCAGCTCCCCTCACCCTCTAGCTAATAACTTCCTCTCAGTCATTAGGTCTTACTTTAAATACCGTTTGCTCAGTGAAACTTCATTGCCTCTCCCACCAGTGAAAGCAAGTCTCCCTTTTATAAACACTTCCTCTATGTTTTCATAGCATTTACTACAGTTTATAATTACACAATTTTTTGGTTGGGGAATTTTACTCACTAGACCATGAACTGTATAAGGACAGGGACAGGATTACATAGTTTACTGCTAACCTTTCCCACTCCATGTTCTATCTAGTGCCTATCCCAGAAACAAACACATAGTGGGTGATTAATAAGTATTTGTTGAAGATATAAATATATCAGACAAGACTATCTCAAAATAACATATGATAAACAATACACACAAAAATTTAACTAAAGAAATAAGCTGAGCTTTAATTTTCAAAGCATGCTGTTCATGAGCCAGCAAAAAAACACTTTAAAATATTTATAACAAGATCTTAAAATAATTGATATACCTATTATATTACAAATTTGAGCAAACTAAAGGTGTAAAAACGATTTTGTATAACAATATACCAGGTACACAAATAGTAAACAATTCCATCTTATAATTTGAACTCTATATTATTATAAAACTCTCAGCTATACAAACCAAAAGTATAGGATATTACAAATAAAAACACAGAAGTGGTTGCTGTTATTGTTTAAAGAAGAGGAGGTGGAGTATAATTATAAATATGTCATACCAAAAGTTAGGAGACCTGGGTTCTAGTCCCAACTCTAACATAAATTGTGAAGTTTTAAAACAGGTCTTTTTTTTTCTTTTTTTAAAATAATATATATGTAGATACAAAAACATAAAACAGGTACAACAAAAGCAGACACTGTTGTTTACTTAATCTCAGGTACTTCAAGGGAAGCACTGACCCCTTCCCAGATATGCTTTCCATGTGATACACACACTGTGGCCAGACCAGGGCTAGGGATTTGGCATGCCTTGGGGTAGGAATTCTTCAGTTTGGCAGGGAGGGCACAAGGGCTGAGAAGGGACTCCAGGTCACTAGCCTCCTGTGGTACTGCTAACCCATGCCTCCTCCTGCCTGTCTCCCACAAGAGCATAATCCATAGGTTAAAGCTTAAATGAAAGGAACAGCAGCAGCCAAAGCACTAACACGTTGGACACAGCCATTTAATTTTTCTGGGGAAAAGTTTCATTATTCACAAAATAATAAGTTCTCTTCTAGCTTTAGCATCCCATGAAAAAAACCTGCAATTTACCTTAAGTACTAAAATAAACAATTTAATTTCTTCTCTTCTAATACTTTACTCACCAGAAGTCAGATCTTTGTAGTTTTGTTGGTTTGTCAAAACCTGAGTAAGAACAGATCTCATTGCTCCTCCCATTTTAGTTAGGTCTTCTAAAAAGGAAATTTGAGGTTCCAAAAGCTGAAGAATTTTGTTAAGGTCTTTTTCTGATGGTACATCAGCTGTTAAAAAAAAAATCATCATCATCAATAATTACTAAAGGTAATTTTCTTTAAGATGTTTTACTAATAATAATAGTATTTTATTCTTTTAAAATTACAGTGGCTTAGATGACAGTATTTTATAATTTAAAGAGTCAGTATAAGAACTCTATTTAGAACATTGGTATCTGCCCAACACGCAGCCTAGGGCAGACTTGCTCAAGATATCAGTCCTTTAGAAAAAAGCAGATGGAGAAAAGAGATGATCTCTTAAGGTATCAAGCATTGAATTTGTGTAAGAAGCATTGGATCTACGGGCCCTATACTGCCACATATATAAATGTAATCATAAGATCATTTCACGATAAAACAGTATTTAAGTTAAAGATGAGATCATGTCCTAGAATACAAGATAGAATTCAAATACGTGAGAGTAATGTAACTAAATTAGGACAAAATTATGTCTGCTCTAAATTTTTTTTTTGTTTTTTTTTTTTTGAGATGGAGTCACTCTGTCGCCCAGACTGGAGTGCAGTGGCCGCTCCTGGCCACCGCAGCCTCGACCTGCTGGGCTCCAGCGATCCTTCCGCCTCAGCCTTCCAAGCAGCCGGAATTACAGGCATGCGCTACCACACCTGGCTGATTTTTTGATTTAATTGTAGAGATGAGGTCTCACTGCCCAGGCGGGTCTCGAACCCGCAGGCTCAGGCAATCCACTCATCTCAGCCTTCCAAAGGCGCAGGATTACAGGCTGAGCCACCAAGCCCAACTAAAAGCAGTACTTTTAACTCCAGCTGCTGCATTTGAAGTGGAGTGGGCCAGTGAGCTGATGCAACGAGACACTAAAAATAATCACCACAAGGAAGAATCAAACATTTTCTCTTCTGCTCAAAATGTAGAAAGATTTTTAATCAACTGCTTGAAAGCTAATATCTCTCTGATATCCCAAGGCTTGTAATATTTTCATATTAATATTTATTAAAACATAAATATGAAGAAAAATGAAATGCCTAAGTTAGTACTGGTCATGGTGGTGATGACTGCATTGAGTGTGCCTAGGGGCTAAGCCTTGTTGCAAGTACTTGTTGCAAGCCTTGTTGCTCTTAATCATCAGGAACCCCTTGGCCAGTTCCCTGCCTCCCTCCCTCATGACCCCTCAGTGCATACAGCACAGAGATCACCCTTTCCTCCTCATGAAGTGCTTTCTTTTCTTGGCTTCTGGGACAGCGTGCTCTCCTAACTGCTCCTTCTAAGTTGCCTTGATTGGTTCCTCCACACCTTGCTAATTCTTTGACCACTGAGTAGTCTCCTTGTCTTAGTTTGTTTTTGCTGCTTTAATAAACCTGGGTGGTTTAAACAGTAGACATTTATTTCTCACAATTCTGAAGGCTAGATGTCCAAAATCAGAGTGTCTCTTCTCCTCCCC